TTTTGATACCGAATTGACATTTTCTATTGTTAAAATCACGAGATACCAAACCTTGCTTACCATTATGCTAGGCAAAAACCACAAATTTGCGCCTTGAACCACTAAATTTTGAAATTGATTTTCCCTAGCTATAACTTTGAGACTTTAAGTTCTGAGATTTAAGATTTTTAATCCAAATTAACAACAAAAATTAATGGGCGTCTCAAACTTTGTTAATATCCCCTGATTGATTGGCCACATCATCACCACTCACATTAATGTATCCACGTGAGTGAACTTTAGTAACTCTTAATTCTACTAATTAATTAAAGGTTTATTTAATTTAAAATTGTTTATCATATGTCTTTAGGATATAAAATAAAAGTGTAATAAATGTATCTTTTTATTATATATTTATCATATGCACCTAAGATACATCATCGAAAAGCCCATTAATTAATCAAATATTTAACCCTTTTAATTAATTGTTTTAAACAAAAATACAATTCGTCAGCACCAACCATCGCTCTCCACAGGAAATTCAACTAGAACCATCTGTGTCTCTCCAATTTCCACCTTCTTCTTTTCCCTATCCCCTCCTCCCTCATCCCTCCTCCTCCTCTGTCTTCATTTTTTTATTTTAATCGAGTTTCCATGAAACCTAACTCTGAATTTCTAGGAGAACCCAAAAAAATTATGGATAACTTAATTTCTGGATTTTCAAAGAATAACACAATATCGACATTATTAATCTTCTGAAATTTTATTTTACTAAAAAAACTTTTTAAAATTTTGTAAAAATACATCGCATCAGATACAAAAGTTATGGATTATAGGCTTTGCCAAACATACCTTTGCCCATTTGACCTCTCAAAATTCTTCCACCATTTGTCTTCTCTCTCTCTCTCAAAAAAAAAGAAAAAAAAAGAAAAGAAAAGAAAAAAAAAGGGGCTTTTCACTAGAAAATCATTTTTTCTTTCATTTCACTCATATTCTCTTCATAAGCAACTACAATTAAGCTTCATGTCGCTCTTTAAAAATTAATGGTTCGATTCTTTGATCCCCTTTCCTTTCTTCTTACTCATCCTCTAATTTTTAAAAACAATTTTCTTTATTTCACCACACTTCCTAATTTGTCTATTAAAATTCTTAAATTTATGTATGTAATCAAACATAGGGTTTCACTTTGATTCCTCTCACACTAGACTTCTGCTCCATCCATTCGTCATCACTCCTACCGTTTCATTTCATTTGCTTTTATGCGAACTTGTTCCCTCCACTTTCTTAGCTCAATCCTGCTCTTCGTAGAAGAATAGAGAAGAAATTAAGAAAAGAAGAGAATGTGGCCCCCTGTTATTGAAACTGCCAAGAAGGTATGGGACACATGGAGCATCAGAGTATTCGTTATTGTAAGCCTGTCGTTGCAGATCTTCTTAATTTGGTTTGCACGATATAGAAAATGGAGAGGTGGAAAATGGGGTAAATGCCTCGACGTGTTGATCTGGTTCGCATACTTGCTGGCTGATTGGGTTGCTGGGTTTACAATCGGATTAATCTTAAGCGAACAAAGCAAAAGTACTCCGACTGAAAGGAGTGACGTCCATGTCTTCTGGGCACCCTTTCTTCTCTTGCACCTTGGCGGTCCTGACACCATTACTTCCTTTGCTCTGGAGGATAATGAATTTTGGATTAGGCACTTGCTTGGGCTTGGATTTCAAGTTGGCTCTACTGCCTATGTCTTTGTTAAGTCCCTTCCAGAGAACAAGCTTTGGCTCCCAACCATACTAGTGTTAATGGCAGGAATAATCAAATATGCAGAAAGGAACCGTGCCTTCTATCTTGCAAGCTTTGACCATCTTGGCGATGATTGGTTACCTAGTGAATGGGGAGATGAAATTCCAGTTCCAGCAGAATTCCAAAAGATGGACAGTCCGGAAAAATTTGAGCAAAGTCAGGAGCAAATGCTGTTATGGACTGCAGTTCACCACTTCGGAACAATCAAGATGATGCTTGTAGGCCCTCTTTTATCTCCAGATCAATGCTCTGAGATCAGAAAAACCTTTCTCCAAGTGGGAGATTCATCTCAAGATTCATCTCAAGTGTTGCAAATAATGGAAATTGAGCTAAGCCTCTTGTATGAGGTTCTTCACACCAAGTTGCCTGTGGTTGGTTGCATGATGGGATACATTTTCAGGTTCATTACTATGTGTTGCATCTTGGTAGCGTTGTTGTCTTTCTCATTATTTAAGAAGTATTATCTACTGAAGCAGTTAGACATGTGGCTAACCTATGGTTTGCTAATCTGGGCCCTTGTGTTGGATATCATATCTATTGTATTACTCATCTCCTGCGACTGGATTTTGGCTGCTCACATCCAGAATACGAAGTCGAGATTCTTCAAGAAGCGCAGGTGGTCTAGAGCAGTTTCCCAGTTGAATTTTATTACTTATTATGTTAATGATTATCCAAGTCTATTGAAAGAAGTTGCTGATTTTCTTCGCCTAAGGGGTTTGTTGGAAGACGTAAAAGGAATCCGATGTCTATCTTCCAAAGATTTCAAAGAAGACCACCCAGAATGGCGCTTCATTTTTGAGGAAGTGAAAGAATTAAATGAGTTTTTGAATAGTAAAATGACAGCCCCGTCTCAGACTGTGCTAGACACCAAGCAAGTTTGGTTATATGGTCGTGAACGAGTTCTTCAAGGTTTTACCAATTCTACTGAGCTCATTAATATTGTGGAGGAGTTAGATTACACGAAAAGTGTACTAACATGGCATATAGCCACTGAATTATGCTTCCACGGAGTAGACCAAACGTCTACATCAGGGAATGGGAGTATAAGTCACAGAAAATTTTGCAAGCTGCTCTCAGATTATATGTTTTACCTACTAGTAATGCAGCCAGCTATTATGGCAGCTGTTTCTGTGAGTTGGAAAAAGGTGTTCGAAGAAACATTGGCAGAGACCGCGTTATATGTAAGAAGGAGTTCAATCTCAAACGATGAGGATGCTCGAAAAAAAATCCTTGAGCTGATCCCAAATTTCAGAAATCCAGAAAGGGATATAAATAGATCGGTGTTATTTGCTGCATCTGTGCTTGCCAAACAACTGAAAAAGTCTAACAGTACTCCTTGGGAGCAAATGAGCAAAGTTTGGGTACATTTAATGTGTTTTGCTGCTATGAATTGCAGGCCACACGTCCATGCTCAGCAACCTAGTAAGGGCGGTGAACTTCTCACATTCGTTTGGTTGCTCATGAATCATTTGGGACTTGGGACTCACTTTTCAAGCCATTACTGATTCTACATAGTGAATTTGATGAGAACTGCTTTCAGGGCAGTTTTATCTTTCTTTGTATGACTACTTGTTGCTGATGGACTTATGTAATCAGTGTATATTGTACCTAGTGTTGAAATTCAACAAAATTTTAGTTGTTTTTGTTTCTACAAATGATGTCACATCTTTGCTCCATGAGTCTAGCTAGCTTCAAGGTACTAATTTTCACTAGTAATTAAAATTTTTGTACTGGAACCGTAACTTCATCCCTCCCTTGTCCAATTTGTCTTTCATCTGATCAAGTAGCATTTGATGAAGTGTTTTTTAATTTGCACGCAAAATAGAGGTTAATGATATATTTATCTCGTATATTTTTTATTAATTATTATAAAAAAATATAAAAAGTGACTTTAATTTTATACACTATCTAGTTAAAATCATGTATATATTATTAATGTTAAAATAAAATTAATTTTCATATTTTTTATATAAATTAATAAAAAAAATATAATTAATATATCTTTAACTTATACCCTAAAGTCTCAAGCTATATAAACCTTCGTTGAAAAATGGATATTGAACAAGAAATCAAAAGAAATGTGATGAAGTGAAGAACCAGAAAAATATTAATATAGTTTGAGAAATATGAAACTCACCACTGAAAATATTTTCTCATCCATCATATACACAAAATTACAATAAAAAATAACGTCATATTCAAGTATAGTAAATGGAATTTCTACTAACTCTCCTCCCAATATAACATATTTTGACAAAATAATTTAACTAACAGGATGCTTCTAAATATTAAGGAAAAATTCCATTACATCAAATAATATTTTAATTTTA